AAATACAGTTCTAGGAAGCCTGTTTCCTGTAGCTTTGTGTGACAGATGACTTCCTTTCTCCACAGCCAACTGAAGTATACTTTTCTTTTATTTGTAGGCATTCAACACCTTTATTGATGATATATTTGCTTTTATCATCACTATGCCAACATCTCATAGGCTGGCGTGCTTTAGAGACGACGTCGTGTTCCTGGTCTATCTTTACCAAAGATGGTATGTCTGCCTTCAGTATTCACCGGGGTTTTTAACACACTGCTGTGGGTGGTTGCAGTCTTACTGCTGTGAAGGACTGTGAGGTAGTTTGGCATAGACTTCAAGCAGAATTTGCCTGCCATAGTAATATATAGTACGGTCTGGGTAACAACAGTGGCTCTCCATATATGCCCAGTGAAGGGAATGTTGAGCAGGAGATCCGGAGGAGGAAATCTCAATACAAATAAGGGGAGCAAAAGCGCTTTCCTATACGTGACAGTATTCCCGGACCCTTTTTAGCATGCTAAGAGGGTAGTCAAAAAATTCCTTCTCTCACAGCACTCATAGGAATTTTGTCAATTACACCTTTTCCCTCCCCAGAACAGCATTCCTCCTTTTCAGCACATAGTTTCACCTTTGCAAGTTACAAACAAAATAAACATGAATACCTTGAAGTGAGGTGAAGCAGAGCAATTCTTGAGCTTGTATTCACAAACCCTCGTGGGAGTTCTGGGCTTCTGACCCTGCGCGGAGGGGCTCTGTGCCGACATCCGCTCAGTATCTGAGGCGTTCCAGGTGGCTCTGCAAGGCACGAGCACAGGTGTTTTCTGATGCGGGACAGCCCGGCTCCACTTCCCTCCTCATCCAGTTTCCAAATACAAGTTGTCAGGTTCTCTTGTAAGCTGAGTTTCTGGCAAGTTGCGGATTCTTTAGGTAACTGAAATTGGATGGCAAAGGCAGCTGTATGCAGCAGTAAGCACTGAAATGTTGGTCTTCAGGGAAGCTACGGAAAATGTGTTCTTGTTCGCAAGAATAAAAATTTACGTGTGGAGCAAACAAGAATTTCAAGCCTAGTTCACTTTATACCAGAATGTATGGGTGTGTACACCTAATCATTAATAGTAGATGTGAACTTTGTGTTTAGGTTTATATAACCACACATAAGTGTAGTAAAATAGGTTGCCTTCCAAAGTATTCTTCCGGAAAGTAAGAGCTCAGTGGCTGCTCATAGAAGCTGGACACTGGTTTCAAGTTTGAGCGGTATCCTGGGTTGCTGGAGAAATACTCCAGCCAAGCCCCAGGGGAGCTCAATCCATCTCTTAAGAGGCCCTGTTATGAGACAGCAGGTTAAGCCTTAACGTGAAGAAGCTGACGTACCTGCAGCTGATCTTTAAAACTGTTGCGGTTCTTTTTGCCACAAATAGGAATAGAGGGTGTGATGAGAAAGAAACTCGCTTGTAAAATTAAGCAGCACAGAAAATGCTTAATTCTTCCAGGTATCAGCCAGTTTTGTAACTAATGCTTTGTTTTTTTCTGCCAGGCTTTATCCTGTGGATAAGAGCAGAGTGAATGAGTATGGAGAATCTTACGAAGAAAAGCCAAAAAAAAAAGCTCATAGAGAATAACCAAGAATTGAAGAGATTCTGACCCCTGGACTCTTCCTGGCTTCATGTATTACCTGGTCTCAAAGGAAGGAAAAACTTATTTAATAAGAGTATTTTTAAAGCTTAAGACAGAACTACATGGACCATACATCTTCTATATTGCCAAAACGTAGTTTTGATATCCCCCTGTTTCAAGATCTTCTGTGCTCGTGAGGCCCGCAGTCTGCCAGACGTCATCAAATAAACCTCCTGTCTCTTCGGTGGAAACCTAGGTGTCCTGGCCATTGCACAATTTACATCCAAACCTACGTTTTTAGGACCGCTTGCTCACCGGAAGTGTGGTGCCCGTGTCACTAGGCTATGAAAAGTGGAAAAAGAAGGCAGTGTGTTACAGCAGAACCGAGCGTTATTGCCAAACTGGAGGCTGTCACGAATAAAATGTGTACTGCTGGGTTGTATGCTAATTGCAAATCATTCCTGGAGATCATGGAAATTCTAGAGGTCATGGTTAAGGTTCTAAGCTGTATGTGAGCATTTAAAAAATGCTTTTAAAAAAAGCTTTGTTGGAAACAGAGGATGAGAGAGATGGGTGGTTACAGTTCAAATTCTGCCACATTTGTAGCCCACAACATGGCAGTTTAAAGAAAACTGAATGAAGATGTGAAGAACAACTGTAACGTGATTTTTTTCAATATGTACCCATTGTTAACAAACCTTTGGTTTTCTTGGCACAGCAGGTATTCATGTCATGCAAATCATTGTTACGTGCTAGGAAAGTCTCTTAATGCATCTTAAGTTCTCCATCGTGTGGTTGCCCCAGTGACCTACTAGGCAAACTCTCTCATGTTTCAGAGGGAATAATTCATACAATCATAGAATGGTTGGGGTTGGAAGGGACCTTAAAGCCCACCCAGTTCCAACTCCCCTGCCATGGGCAGGGACACCTTCCACTAGACCAGGTTGCTCAAAGCCTCAGCCAGCCTGGCCTTGGACACTTCCAGGGATGGGGCATCCACAGCTTCTCTGGGCAACCTGTTCCAGTGCCTCACCACCCTCTTCGTGAAGAACTTCTTCCTGATATCTAATCTAAACCTCCCCACTTTCAATTTAAACTCGTTACCCCTTGTCCTGTCACTACAGGCCCTTGTAAAAAGTTCCCCCCAGCTTCCTTGTAGGACCCCTTCCCTCTCTCCCTGCCCCAGTCTATTTATAAGATGAAACACATCATTCACGTTTGCGCAAGGCTATTTAACTGACTTGTCGCTGATTGAAAATCTTGAGCGACCGTGAAGAACGCAGATCTATAGCCTCTAACTACTTTATGAAGTGGGTTTTATCCAGTTCTGGTCCTGCAGAAGTCTGAACCTATGAATTCTTAGGTTCCCCAGAAGACACGGGAAGGTGCCTGACTTTGTTTGGTAGTTTGTGACAATCTTCCGCGTGCTGGAGGCCTCCTTACGTGCTGCTGGCAACAGGAAGGAGTCTTGAAGTCAACGTGTAGCTCCAGTTCGCGTCAAGGTCTCCTTACACCGGTAACGGGAACTAAGGAGGGCTGCTGTTTTTAGCGTGAAACGTGCATATGTAGGTCTGTTCCAAACCGCGGTCGCCGCCTGTTTGGAGTTTGTCTTGGAGGAGCTCTTTGCCGTTAGGCAGACTAGTTTGGGACTTCGGTTTCCTAAAAACAGTTAAGTGTGTGAAAAATTTTCCTGATAAAAATAACGCGTATAGCAGATTCTGTTTTTATGCCATTTCAAAACAATCAAGTTACTGGTTCTTCTGTAGTAGCTTCTGAAAGTCCAGAATACCATACTTGGGTATTTTCAGTGTTTCCATCTTTTGTATGTAGCTGTTGAAAACCCACTCTTGCACCTTTACATACTGTGAGCTTATTGGTCTTTTGTCTTACATTTCTGATGGCAGTGACCTCATCATAAATAGACATAAAGAATCTAAAATTCAGAACATTTTAAGTCTTTAAAAAGAGCGAGACTTTCCTGTTCAAGTCATTGTTCTATGCATTCCGTTTCCGAATAAAAGACTTGGCATATGGGGTAGAGAGTTACCTTTTTTTGTTGGAAGGATGGAGAAAAACTGGGCAGAACAGTGTAACTGTGGAGTTACTGAATGCCACGTTTGAACTTTCTGGTTGTGGAAATGACATCAGCCTAAAACAAAAACGCATTTCCGTGTGGGCAATGCAGGAGAACAACTTCCTGTATATCACACTTCGCCGAGTGTATCTTAACTCGGTGGCACGTCATCGGTGCCTGTGATCTGTTTAAGAGTTCAGGAGTATCGTCGAATCATAGAATCACACAAAGGTTTGGGTTTGAAGGGACCTTAAAGACCATCTAGTTCCAACGCCCCTGCCATGGGCAGGAGACCAGGTTGCTCAAAGCCTCATCCAGCCTGGCCTTGAACACTTCCAGGGATGGGGCATCCACAGCTTCTCTGGGCAACCTGTTCCAGTGCCTCACCACCCTCTCTGGGAAGAATTTCTTCATGATATCTAATCTAAACCTCCCTGCTTTCAATTTAAACCCGTTACCCCTTGTCCTGTCACTACAGTAGTTTAACTCAACTTCATTCAGGGCAGCTGTGGTAAGCAACTTGGCCTTCTCCTCTTCATTAGGCTTGCAGTGGCTGTGGAAGTTAGAAGACTGCAGTGATGTGGGGTCGGGGCTGTTTTAGGGTTAATTGGTCAAATCATCCCTTGCTTCTGGCAGATGCTCTCACCACGGTGCTTATGAGGGCACAGTAAGCCGCAGTCAGGATTCTGCATGGAAGTGAGGAAAGGCAGCTGACAGTGCTTCCTGTGGGTGTACAGGACCTGTGGCTCGTTACGGATACGCGGCTGTAGTCCCGCACAGTTCTTCCAGCTCCATACCGTGCTCTCTCCTGCTCGTCTTCACCTGCTGCCGACTGTTCTGCAGGAGGTGACCTTCTCCCCATACGGCTCTTGTCCCTGGAGCCATAGAGCTGATGGAATTATAGAAAGGGCATCGACACTAGCAGTGTTATCAGCAGAGCCCAAGAAGCCTGCTCCGCTCTGCTGCTGGGGCCGGTGCTGTGCACGTTGCTGGCAGGTAGACTCAGCCCTGAAAAGGAGTATCTGCTCCTTTTTGATACAGCATTGCATTCCAGTATTGTCAGCTCCAGCATCTGCACCTCGGTGCCAGAAGCATTAAGACAGATGGTTCTGTAATTTGTCTGCTTTTAAACACCACATTTTCCATTATTTTTCCGTTATATTCCATCAGAAGATAAACCTTGTGTGAGGAACTGAACCGTGATCGTCTGCTAGTAATGCTGGTCCTCCTTACGTTACGACTTGGGGCTTTTCAGTATCGTAAGATGTAAAGTTGTGCCGGTGGGAGGGGACCTCGGGAGGGGGACATCCAGTACCAGCCCAGCCTCTTCCCCCCCCCAGGCTCTGTACAGACTAACCAGGCTTTCCTGATCATCCTGTGCGAAAGCATCTGTGTGAGCAGACCTAGCTGGCAAGAGCCCAGCTTTCCCAGACACCCAACGCCCGGCCCTGACTGCTTCCCCGCTTACACTAGGAGAGGTTTGGTTCTGTATCTGAGGATCCACGCACTTTCCCACTGCTTATAGACACATTTAAGAATTTCCTCTTAGTGCAGTGGGGGAAGGGTGATGTCTCCCGTGTTTTCATCCATCTGCATTAAATACGACTGCTGCTTCTTAAGGATATCTGGAGCTAATCCATTTGCTCCAGTTTTTCCTGACAATTCTGTTTCTGACTGCTCCTTTTACTGCCGGGTCCCCGGAAATCCGGTATTGTCTTTTTATTTTTTCTCCTAGCCCCCCCACCCTGATGAGTGTTCCTGCCTCAAACGGGACAAAATGCTTCAGATTCAAAAGACAAGCCCTTTAACACTGGGGAATTCTGGCTCACGTCTGCCTGTGTTCAGTTGAAAGTGTGGGATAGCTTCCCCCCCTTCTCCTCCTCGCTTTCTGTTTGGCAGTACTCTGTCCTTTCAGTCCTTGCCATATGGTACCCATAAAACTTCCTGCAAGTGGTTTTGGGTTGAGTATATACCAGCCTCTCAGTTTCTGGCCCCTAATGTTCTCCTCAGTCATCCACAGCTCTGCAGTCCTCATTAACTTAAGGCGAAGCTCTTTGATGGTTGCCTTTACAATGATTTGTCCTCCTGTTCTGGCACTTACAGAACTCGCAGAAGGAAAAACTTGCAGGTGCTTACACACCTTCAATGAGTCATGAGCTCTCTTGCTCTTATTCTCGACTTGGAAAGTTCACTCTGACCATTTTTATTCGGTGTTAATTGCCTCTACGGTCTCCAGTGGCAACCTAGTCTGTGCTGAGCAGCCTAAAGCCATGTAGATGCTCCGTTGCCGTGGTTCATCTGCGTGCTGTGGTCCAGCTAACCACCTGGCTGCTGAAGCAAGACCCCTGGAGCATAAACTCTGGGAGCGCAGCTACACTCTTCACTCTGTTCCGAACACCAGGCCTGGCACGGCCCCAGCATCACGCAGCCTAACGCTCCGTGCCTGGCTCACGGCCAGCCACCAGCGGCTGTCCAGCACACCCTCGCCTCCTTGCCGCCCTGCAGCCTCCCTTCGGCATCGCTTGCCAGCTGAAGCTCAGAGAGTCGTCACAGGTGCCTAGTTTGGACCGCAGGATCTGCTGGAGTATGGCCTCTGCTTTTCCAGCTGAAGTTCTCAGCTGCTGCTGCCTCTGCTGTTCAGTCCCCATCAGAAGCAGGCCGTTCGGTTGCCTTCTGCTGACCAGGAGAACTGAAAGGAAGCAGCAGAGTTCCACTTGGTAAAACTGACAAACCCTTGGTCAACTCGCTTGTGAAAGAACTGGTTCGCCTCATCCTCCTCTGCCATCCCAAAAGTTGTTACAAAGATACAGAGGGGAAAAACCAGGAAAGCTTGCCCCAGGAACTGGCAGTGTTTCAAGCTGATTCTGATTTCTTAAACTTGAGCATCTCAGAAGATCCGTGTCAGAGAGACGTGCAATCTGAAAAAAATCC